TTGCTCTTTAAAGCCTTGAACTACAAGGCGTGCATTGTGTCGTGCAATTGTACCATCATTGTGATGTTTAACCCTAAAGGTCCATTTACATTGTAACAAATTTTGATTTGGTGCAGGTGGAACAAGTGTCCAGATTCCTTGTTGTTGATGGAAGAGAAGCTCGTTTGAAATAGCTTGACACAATTTTGGGTGTTGTAAAGCTTGTTTAAATCTGATGAATTTATTGGTATGTGCAAGGTGTAAAAGACAAAAAATTTTAGACGGTTTGATTTTGCCTGTTTGAGTATGAGTTATCATGGGGTGAGTCTGAGTAGTTGGAGGATGTAAATTTGGAGGGGTGGGATTGATTGTATCAGTGTTTGGGGTGGCTAAGATATGAGTAAGCGTGGATCATGTAGACGGAGGATTAGGTGAAGTTGGGTGATTTGTGTTGGTGTGTGTAGAAATGGTGGTAGTTGTAGGTGTGTTTTTAGTGGAAGAAGAATAGATAGTGAAAGTGGGTGATAAAAATGTTGGGGGGGAGTAAAGTGGAGGATGGTTTTGATATTGTTATAGATTGTTCTTGCTGAAATGAAAAATATGATTCATTAAATTGAACATGCCGTGAAGTGAAAATACGTTCCCGCTGAATATCATAACAAAGATATCCTTTGTGATGGCGGTTGCAACCCAAGAACACACATAGTGGGGCTTTGTAATTGAATTTATGTTTCATCGACGGTGGGTGCCATAGGAAACAGGCGCAACCAAAGGTTTTGATGTTATGGTATTTTGGGGAAGTGTTGTGAAGAAGTTGAAAATGGGAAATGTTGCGAGTGGTGGGAGAGGGCTTCTTTTAATACGATAAACGACATTATGAACTGCTGCAATCCAGAATTTTGGAGGTAAAGAAGCAATATTTAAAGTGTTTTAACAGTTTCTATGATGTGCCTATTTTCACGTTCGGTGATGTCGTTTTGTTCTAGGATATAGAGGCAGCTAAATTGTTGGTGTATGTCATTATTGTGTTAAAAAGTAAGTGAGTTGATTTATATTCGTTGCATTCATCTGATCTTAATATTTTGATGGTTTTGTTAGGCTGATTTGTTAATTGCTTATACAGGTTTATAAAACATAAAGAAACTCCGATTTTGAATATAATGGAAAACACCAAATGTAACATATTAAATACATTTATCAAGAGAAGGTTGAGAAAATGGCCCCCAAACGCCAGTGGATTAATTCTAGTGCACCGAATGTTGTAGTGCTAACATAAAATGATAATTAGTGACATCTATTGCTAAGACAGTTTATATTAGTTTTGTTGATCTTTAGTTGAGGTTGTTGTTGAGCTATTATTTGAATGATTTTGTGATGTGGATGTCCTAGACGTGGGATTGATGGTGGCGGTGAGAGCAACAAGAGGGGTAGAGACCTTGACTAGCTTGACCGCTGAGAAGTGATTTCTTTGTAGTTAGATATTGTATCTAAAATCTATTAGGATGAAATATGTAATAGAGCAAGCATTATCATGTACAAGTTTGGACATAGATAATAAATTGTTAGAGATTTCGGTAACTCTAAGAATATAAGTTAAGTGGAGCTTAAGATTGGGGTGAAAAGAGAGAGCTCATTCCTACACCTCATTTGAGAGAACTTTCAAACTACATTCCATCTTTTTTTTTTAAAAAAACTATTTATTTATCCAGTAACTTAATAATTTAGTTTATATTTTCTTAAAAACTTTTAAAGAAACTCCATTTTCATACTATTTTGGGACATTGTTTTTTTTTAATTTTTTTTAAATATTTTTCTTAAAAAAGCATTTTAACATACAACTCTTACAAAGGTAAAAACTTGACCAAGGAAAACCTTAAAAATAATGCTTTGCAAGCCAAATTTTCGACACGAGCTCTCCTCATTATTTGTTCAATTACAGTTGAGCATTTGATCAGTTTGAATGGATTCGTTAGCAAATTGGTCAAATCAATTGCAGCCAAAATCCAAAATCCAATAAATCGAATCAATCAAATTTTTGATAAAATCAAAGTGACCAAACTAAAATTGTATTTGGTTTAAATAGTTTGATTATGAGTAAGCCAATTTTTAATTATTTATTTAATGTTTTATTATAAGCAAATATAATGAATTACAAAACTTACATGTATAATATCTTATTAATTTCATGAACATTCTATTTATTTTAATCAAATATTGAATATATAATAAACTTTGTTTTTTTTTTCGATATGTAGAGTACAACTAGATATATTTGAATATAGTCAAAGACTACTAAGTCAAGTCAATTTGGTGGTATCAATATATCAAAGTCTTCAAAATTGTAATCTCAAAGGCATCCAAAGAAGGAACAATTATTAGGTGTGAAGTACGTATCTGCGGACTTCGTTGTAGTTTGGCTGCATTGGTTGTATTGATAATTTTTAATATCACGGAGTATTGGTAGGTACTTCACACCTAACAATTATTAGGTTTGATAAGATGCTTTTCATATTGGTTCAGAAGGTATGTATGTAATTGCCCCATTATATAATATATATCTTGCTAATTCAATTTTGACAATAATCTCAAAATAAATTTATTGATTTTAAAATTTATTTTAATAAAAAGTTTAATTGGAAAATATTTATTTATTTATTTAATAAATGCAAAATATTATTAATTAATTAAATTTATATTGGATGAATTTAAAATCCATCCAAACTTTTTGTTGTTGTAAGAGCTGAATTATGGGGTTGGTTTGGAAAAAAAAAAAAGGGATCAGAACCAAATGTGAAGTACAAAAAATACAAATAATTCAAGTAAAACAAAAAGTATGGGAATGGGCAGCCCTCTTTTTCTTCCAAAGAAATAAATGAAGGGGCGATTACATACAAGGCATTCAAGACTCTCTTATTTACAAGCCAAGCATCTCATTTCATCTATTTTTCAAATTCTCCCTCAAATATCAAAGGACATGATAAACCCCCAACACAAATTTTTTTTTTTTTTTATCAATTTCACAATGATTGATTGTGATACGCGTAAATAATCGGTTTTATAGTTCAAATAATCAGCTAAATGCTGGATTCGTAAGTAGTAATGTTTCTTGTGCTCTGTATGTAATTTTTTTTTCTAAAAATGATGTAAGACTTCCAACGGAGGATTGCCAACCTCATTGTGAAAGATATTTTTGGAGGGACAAAATTGATATTTCAGGAGAAACAAAATACTGAATTACTCTCTCATATAAACAAAAATTTGAATTTTAGGAGGTTGGGGCAACTGCTCGTTGTTGGGACTGACTAGTGTTTCTGATGCGAAAAGCAAGCCATTTAGCGAGCGCCTTCATGACTGTGGCCACCAAAATAGTTAGGCTTCCTTTGTGAAGGTGGTTAAACTCCGTTCCATTGTAGTGAAAGCCCAATAGTGGAAAAACTTTTGTTTGGTAGAGCAGCGTCTCCCGAACATCTCTTGAGGGTTTTTCGCTAGAACGACGATTTTTTTTACTGCTTCCTTGAAACCAAACCTAAGTTGCGTCTATACGGCACAACTTTTAAAAAAAAAAATTAATGTGTTTAAATATATAATTTTTTTGGCTGTTAAATAATTTAAAATTTGAAATTAATGTATAGCTTAAAAAATTATTTAAAGATTAACGCATAGCATAAAAAAATAAAATTAATATATATAAATTGTATCTAATTAATTAAGCAATTAGTATTATCTTAATGCAAGCCAACTAATGCAACAAAACTTTTAAAGCTTGCTTTAAACCTTTCCCCATCTCTCAATTTGGCTTTATCTATAGTTATTTTTTATCAAAATCTTAAAGGAGAAAAGTTTGTAAAATGTAGAAATTATTTAATCATCAATTAATATTCTAAAACTTCTTTATCATATTTCAACTGATTTATTTGAGCTTATTTTGACTCAACATAGATTATTTTTTTGTATTATAGCACTCAAAACTTTCATATTTATCAATCTCACACCTAAACTTTCATAATTACAAATATCATATGAAAGCAGTACTAATCATAATATAAGTGCTATTTATGTAATTTTCCCTAAAATCAAATCTGAAATGGTTGTAAAATTAATTTAGATAACTTTCAACCCAAAAATTGCGTCAAAATTCATAATTAGCGGGTTGGATATTAATAAATAAGAAACTTTAATGGAGTGATAAGAGAGAAAAAAAAAATAGAATGAGATGATTTTGATAACGTTTTTATAATACAAGACAACTAATAACCAGACTGCAATATTGTCTCCTCTTATATAAATAAATGGCAAGAACAAATAATACGAGGAAGTTTATCCTTCTGTCATGTGACCAAGTCAAATAAAACTACTCATCATTTGGCTCTTTAGAGATATAGAGTGAAGTTTCAAAGTAGTCCCGGATTATTTATTCAAAATAGTCAATCCTCTTTAAGCTTAGGTTGAAATAGTCTTATTGAGTTTGATTAGAAGTCAATTTTAAAATAAGAATGGTCGACTTTTACAATTCTATGAACTTTAGGACTAAGGGTGCATTTTGACAGTGCTGCGGTGGTCGTGCAGTGTTTCATTGTAGTTTTTTTCTGTTCGACAAAACAAAATTTTATTTATTTTTTCAAGAAATTACAACCAAAAATTGTGTTTTGCAATTGGATTTGACTAAATGTGTTGGCTGTTAAAAATTTACGATCCTATTTTTAAATTTTTTTAAAAAAATTGTAATAATAGATGCAATTTTTTGAAAAACAATAATTTCATAGTTGTTCCCCAAGATGGTGTCATGTAAATAATCAGCAACTACAGGAACTATTTTGGCACTTTACTATAGAGACATATAATTGAGATAAAATTCCTCATGTTATCTAAACAAAATTTTCTGTTGTATGATATATCTGAATCTAAGCTTTATGGAATATTTATATATATATAGATAACGTTGATTAGCAAATGTTCTAAATCAATTGACAACTGACTAGTCAGACAACTATAAAGAGTGAGGGGAGGGGGAGGGGGAGGGGGAGCTCCTTTGTAATCAAGCAATTGAATCTTCTTCCACAGACCTATGGCTGATCTTCAAGGAATTAATCTGATGCTTCCTCTTCTTAGCCTCATTCTCTTCCCATATATAATCTTCAATTTTCTGCGATTTCTCAAGAGGGGATTTTTGGACCCAATAAGGATAACAAAGGCGATGGAAGGTCAAGGAATCAGAGGCCCTCCTTACAAGTTCTTCAATGGAAGCACAGCAGAAGCCAACGAATTGATGGAGGAATCCATGAACAAGCCTATGGAGCTGTCACATAACATAGTCCCCAGAGTCCAGCCTCACTTTCATTCATGGATCAAACTTTATGGTAATTCATTTTATTTCCGCCATTACTTTGACATCAAGCTCTGTGCTTTCTTCTTCCGGAGAACAAATTAGTTTGATGTTGAATCAGGAAGGAATATTCTTACTTGGTACGGGTCGACGCCGCGGCTGGTGGTGGGAGAAGCAGAGTTGGTGAAGGAGATTCTGAGTGATAGAGAAGGAGGATTCCCAAAATACGAGCCGCCGGTGTTCATGAAGAAGCTGCTGGGTGATGGGCTGGTGACTTCCGGCGGTCAGAAATGGGTTAGGCAGAGAAAGTTGGCTACTCATGCCTTCCGTTCTGAGAGCCTCAAGGTACCATTCTGCAACTTCTCTAATTTGGAGGGATTTTAATTCAGAATATTTTTTTTCAGTTATGACACCGGTATTGATTTCAGGGGATGATTCCAGCAATTGTAGCTTCAGTTGAGTCCATGCTGCAAAAATTGGTTGAATTTGAAGGAAAGGAGATTGATTTCTTCACAGAGTTCTGCATCCTTACATCAGAAATCATTTCAAGGACTGCTTTTGGGAGCAACTATGTTGAAGGGAAGGAAATATTTATCAAAATAGATGAACTAACAGCAATTGCTGCGAGAAACTTTCAAGCAATTCGGCTGCCTTTCTTCAGGTGCGTTCAAGCCTTCCTTTTCACCTACTCTGTAAAGTTAACTTTTGTTGTTTTCTTTGTTGCAGAAAGCTTGTGCCGAATCAAGATGACAAGGAATCAGACAAGATCGAGAAGGCCATAAGGGAATCTATACTGAAACTCTTATTGAGAAGGGAGGAGAAGAAGAAGAATGGAGAAGCTGAAGGCTATGGAGATGACTTACTCGGATCACTTATGCGGGCGCATTATGAGGATGAAAGAATCACTCTTGATGACATTATTGATGAATGCAAAACCTTCTATTTTGCAGGTCAGGAAACCACTTCCATTATGCTTTCATGGACCGCCCTTCTTCTGGCCATTAACACCGATTGGCAAGACAAGTTAAGATCGGAGGTTTTGCAGCTTTTCGGAGAACGAAGCCTCGTTTCTGAAGATTTTTCCTCCATTGCTAAGCTTCGAAAGGTGATAAATTGATCAAATCAAGTAGTGCGAGCTTTCTTCTACCTGTGGTTGATAATGATCCGACTATCTAAAAAAATGATTTTTTTTTCTTTTTTTTGCAGATGACGATGGTGATCAACGAGGCGATGAGGCTTTACCCACCTGTACTCAACATATTGAGAACAGTGGCGAAAGATTGCAGAGTAGGCAATGTTCTTCTCCCCAAAGGCATGCAGATACAGATCTCACCGCTCGTAGTACACCATGATCGCAGCACATGGGGTGAGGATGCACAGCTCTTCTCGCCGGAAAGGTTCGCCACCACGGCGAGCGGCGGCGCCGCCTTCTTTCCCTTTGGCGTCGGTCCCCGCTTGTGTGTTGGGCAGGGATTGGCGATGTTGGAAGCCAAGCTTGCTTTATCCATGATTCTGCAGAGGTATTCCTTCAGTCTGTCACCAGCTTATGTTCACTCCCCGGTCTCCCGACTCTCCTGCAGACCTCAGCATGGAATTCAAGTTGTGCTGCAGAAGCTGTAGCTGACGGGTAACAGAGCCGCAAAGAGAGATTGAGGGTGAAGAAATAGATAAAGCAACTTCTGTATGCATGGAATTCAAGTTGTAGCAGCGCTCATTTCCATTTTTCTAAATAAATTTGTCGAACTAACACCTGTGTGCGAGCACAATACAGTGAAATTATTTGATGAATGTGAGATGTTTGTTCTGCAATTCATTAAAATTCAATGCCTTTTGTGATCTTTTCTATTTTCCAATTTTTCATTCATAATATTTGTGAGTGAAACAAGGATGCTCCATATTTTTCTTATTGTTAAAAATGGCTAAGATAATAAAGTTCTGTACATTACAAGTATTCAGCAGTTGCTCACAGAACCAACCAAAAGTTTCATTTTTTTACTGCGGCAAGAAGCATTACAAGCTTTCTCTTTCTCTACGCTGCTGTCTTGGACTCATCGTTGCCGTCCGGCTCTTCTGCACTATTCAATCTGGAAAGTCTAAGGATAACAATTTAACTGAATTCAGTTTTCTATATTCTGTCTTTATCATATGTACATGTTGTATATGTTCAGGCTATTGTTTAAAAAAAAGGAAGAATTGTTGTTTCAAATGTAATTGCTATTGCGTAGTTATCGTAAAGCTCTGCAGGGATTGAAAATGGGAGTAGTAGATGGAGATTCAATAATAATTTAGAGTAATGCATGCAAGGGAGTACGCGGTTGATTTTAATTAGCATGAAACATACAAAATCTATGAACGTAGTGATAGAAAAAATTTAATGATCTTAAAATCATTAATAATGAATTTTTTTTACTCTCGTATTAGTAAAGTGAAAGTTGAGGAAGCTTCAATGGAAATGAATGGTGCAAAATCAGTACGATATGGTGAAAAATTACTAGAACCTGTTGGTATCCACTATTCTAATAGAAGTGTAGAAATGTTTAGGAGATTTGAGAATTTTTTGGCTTATTAAACTTTTTAATATATTTTAAAAACTTGAAAGATGTCTAGGAAGTGGATAAAGGGTAATTTGATCTCTATTTTTAAGAATAACGGAGATGAGTGTGCAAATTATAGAAGAATTAAGTTAATGTGTCATACATTAATATTACGAGAGAGTGAGAGAGACTAATTGAATATAGATTAAGATGTGATACAAAGCTTTCCCAAAATAAGTTTGGATTTATGTCGGACAAGTCTATAATGGAAGTTATACATTTATTAAGAAGTTTGATGGAGTACAGAGAGATTAAAGAAGGTCAACATATGATTTTTGTTGATTTAGAAAAAGCTTATGATAAGGTTCTAGGAAAGTTTTTGGAGAATTCTAGAAAAGAAATGTGTTGACATAACTTATATTTAAATTAGTAAGGATATGTGTACAACTATTATTAGTGTTCAAACAAAAAGAGGATTGACCAAGTATTTTTCTATGTCAGTTGGATTACATCAAAGATCGGTTGAAAATTACAAAAAATCTTATAGAGCTCTTTTTATATCTTCAAAGATAGACTCCGAAAATTATAAAAATTACTCTTATTTCAATGCGTATTACTTGATCAATACATGAGTTTTAATTTTGTATATTACTTGATTAATGCACATACTTGCGTGATTGATCGTCAACTTCACAACAGTTTCTGACATCATTGCCCCTAAACCCAATACAAGGGGTCACCCCCCTCCCCCTTCTCCTCTCATACACAGTGAGCAAACTCATCGTCTCATCGCCAAGGATTGGCAAAATTGAAAGATTTGAATGTCCAATTAATAAACACAACCATACTGCACATAATAAATAAATTTTCATGTTAAGCCGAGACATAAAATCACATTATATTGTTCTTAATTTTTTAATACACAATAAATAGTAAGCATAAATCTCATATTTAATAAGTATAAATCCTTCATGCAACTCACATCACATGTTTCTTAGATTAAAATTTCTTCTTATCCATTATAACTTGAGGGCAGTTACATTGATATTTACAAGTAAATTGACATCCCCTACTTGGCTAGAGTTAGTGGATATTAAATCAAAATTTGTAATTTAATTTGGGCTAAATTGAATTAAGATGTGCTTAAAAATACCATATGATGTCTCTATTATCTTTAAATAACAAAAAAAAATTATTGATTTTAATTAACAAATAAATAAAAATAATAAATTTTGATAAAAGAATAAAAAGTGAGATATTCTTAATTGATTATTATTGAATCCTGATTTGTGCGTAAATCAAACCCAAGAGAGGAAAATGCATGATAATTAATAGTAATATGAAATCTTGATTAGTCTTTTCTAAGTAAATGATCCCTATTTATATGTGAGGGGTACAATATTTGTGAAACGTCATTAATAAATTTCCAACTTTCAACACGAATCTCAAGGCATGCCGTGGGTCTCGATGAACCTTTTTATGCAATAAACATTCAAACGTTGATTAAAAATCATCTAGAGTTCCAATTTAAGAAAACATTACAGTTAAATTGACCGGCTCGACGAAGCGAACCCAATTATATTAAAATTGGTTCAATCCGAGTCAAATCAAACTCAGATCAAGCCACTAAACCACTTTTGGAAGCTTTCTGTATGTATTGGGGAGGTCAAATGGATGTCAAATCAGGCAAACCTATAGTCAAATCAAGTGTGTCGACAAGACAAATCCAACGAGTCCAATTTTGAAATCATTATGACACTCAAATTTCCATCAAACGTCGTCTAATCAAAGGAAACTCTCTGGATTGTTTGATCAAAGTGGTTCATATCCATGTATTAATTCCAGCTGAAACTATATAAATAGAGCCCCGCCCCTCTCATGAAAGGAGGAGAGAGCTTGAAGCTTGACGCTTGAAGAAGAGAGTGAAGCTTGGAGAATGAGTTGAAGCCAAGCGTCACTTTGTTGTCGACCACCAGTCACCAATCATTGACCACCAGTCGTCAATCACTACCGACCACCAGTGCCGATCACTACCGAACACCGGTTACCGATCACCTATCGTAGACTGCCACCTACCATCTCTTGCCAATTGTCGTTAACATCATCGATCACCACCCATTTTTTACAACAAGTGAACAAGTACATCCACACGTCAACGTTATAATTTGGAAAACTTTGTAATCATTTCCCGTCTGTGGAACAAGGGGACTCTGTAATCAACTTATAGTGAATTTTTACAACTGAGTCAAACCTCGTGATTTTTTCTCTTTATGGGTTTTCCACGTAAGAACTTCGACGTCTCCATTGGTTGTTTTCCTTCATATGAGTGTGTATTGAATTCTCATACAATGCTAAGATGATAATCCATTACCCGACCACCGCGAATTTTCTAGCACGCGTCAATTTATAATTACATGCTTGTGCGTGCATTAATGGAAGTATTACAAGGTATTTTGGTTATTTTACCATTTTAATCCTATGGTTCATCAAGGAATGCTCAATCGACTTTGTTGGGTCAATGTTGTTGTTCGACCCTGGACTGACTTTAGGTTTGTAGGATTTGGCTCGGTCGGCTCAGTTTTGTCGGCCGACTATCTTGCTCCTGTTGTTGACTTATGATCCCTGGATGAGGAGCTTTTGTTGGTGAGATGATACCAGACTATCAGGCATAGGGTGAATCATCTTAATTCGATAGATATCTCATACACTGACGAGAGAATCCTTCGAGAAGTTATTGGATCTAGTCTTTACCGATCCCTGACTCTATATCATCGCAGAGGGCATCCGAGAGGTGATTGGGAATGCTGAACTTTTCCCTTGAATTGGGTCATGACGAAAGACGGGTTTATGCCTTTGCTAAGTTTGATTGGTTTTGGCCCCTTGGCTCGGTTTCCTTCGCTCGGTTGGCCTTCAACCCCGCTTAGGCGGGTTACACCTCATGAGACAAGTTTTTCAGAATTCCAATGGTAAACACAGTTTTCTAGTGTTGAACCTCGATCTTCCACTAATAGACCTTTGGTTTTCCTCCTATGGACTCTTAGGTTTACGTCTTATGGGTCATTGATCTTCTGCTCGTATCTCCTCCTTATTTTTACCTCTTTGTACCATTTGTCTCTTAGATTTTTTCGAGATTCATGCAGACAATTTTCTGATGTGGCAGTCCTTCGTTGTATATTTTTTTTACTTTTAAGAAGACACGTTTTAAGATAATATGTTGAGAATTGTATCACAATGGCTTTAATCAAAAAAATTTTTTTTTTCTTTTGTAAATCAGATCCTCCCATTTGTGCTCTTAGCTTCAACCTGAATTTGATGCAACCTTTGAATCTCCCTGGTCGGCCAGCACCCATAAAAATAATAGATTAAAAAGATTCTTATGGTCTTCTTCCTCCCACGATTGAGCTAGAGAGATCGTCGAGTGATTCTTTGCTCCAGCATATGGAACTCTGATAATTTGGTAAGAGAGATAATAGTGTCACAGAGAGAAAGCGAAAAGACCCATCTCTTCTCCGCTGTAGTTTTCTCCGCGGACTGCCCATTTTTTCTCCTTTATTAATCCCAAATCCTCTGCGCTTCCGAGGCCCCTATGCGTCTTCCTCTTCTCTCGAGCTGTCTTTTCATTTTTCTTTTTTCGGTTTTTGTTTTTCAGATTTGATCTTTGCCGAGTAGGAGGTTGATTTTCTCGATTTAGTTCGATTCTAAGGAATACTGGATGAAGGAGGGAGTTTGGAAATCTGTAATAGGAATGATAGATATGGGTTTCCAGTTGGGGGCTCTGTAACTGGTATATAGGTTTTCCTTGTTCAGACCGAAAGCTGTTGCTAGCGATATGCGGAGGAGCCGGCGCCCGGCAAGAAGGAGGCTTTCGGATTGGATCTGGTGGATTCTAGGTTTATTCATGGCTGGGGGTTTGCTTCTTTTTGTTCTTCATCATCACCACCAGGACAGCTCCGGGCTTCGGATGAAGGTAAACTCCTTTCCTTCTGGCATGTTTCATGGGATTGTTTTGCAGAGAATTTAAATTACTGCAAGCTGGATTTTAGATCTTATTGTAAATCCCAGTCATTTGATTTGATCTTGTTTGATTGTTTTCCGGATTCTACTTTTGGTTGTCATCTTTCTGAGAGATTCATGTTTCATAAAAGAGTGGTTCTATTCGAAAAAAAAAAAATTCCTTGGATCTCATTGTAGGCCTTTGCTTGTATTGGAGATATTTTTATGCTTGGTATATAATGGATTACTTCAGAGTTTGGACTTCACAGCGTTTTACAATTAGAAAACATCATGACAATGCTTGAATCTTTCTCATTCAAACAGGCAGATATGGCCGCAGAATTATGATTATTATAGTTGAATTGAACAGAATCCAACCAATATCAATCCCACACCATTTCAATCGGGTTTCTACTGAAGCTTGGAAGAATGATTTAGATAATTGGAGAGTGCATATCAAAAAGATGATTTTCTGAAAATTTGTTGTTCTTTCTTTAGGTTTTGGTTGATGATTTTTATGCTAAATATCAATCAATGATTCCACAACAAAAATAAATTTTTGTAAATATATGAATGAGAACTCATAAAACAATTTTGTATTGCTATCTTATCCTAAATTGGCGTACACAGCATGGAAACTAAGTAGGAACAAAAAAGAATGGAATTTTTTTACAAATATATGAATGAAATTCAAAAAATAATGTAATGTCGTGCGTTAGTTTAGACTACACTTCATTACCATGTATTTACACTTTCATAAACTTTAGAATACCAATAACATCCATTTTATGAAATTTTATGAACAATGAATTGGTCTTGCTTTCTATGTTGAGGTGATTTTAGGGTGAGCTCCTTTCTTATTCTTCATTGTACCTATATTCTTAGTTCATATGCTGAAAAATCTGTCCAATGATTCTCAAATTATGAATTGCTAAGAATAGAGGATTTCAAGCCTAATGTTTTGTTAATCTCTTCATTAAACATTAATATTTGCTTGAAAAAACTTTCATTCGGTTGTACAAATTTTATTTATTGATACTTAAAATGTCATTGCTCATTTCATAATGTTGATTTGTATGATTATTGTTAAGTAGTAAAATACTATGTATTACTTCTTATAATATTTAAGCATCATCAACTTAGCGTCCAATTTATTTGCACCTTTTGTTCATACTTGTGCGCTTTGTAAGCTGGCAACTTTGATCACCATATGACAAATCTAATAGGAAGAAGGCATACAAATTTCATCTATATAGGATAGTAATTGCTCTCTCTCTAGTCATAGAGTTAACATGATTAGTGACTCTAGACCCCAATACACACTCAAATCATTTATTAAAGGAGCTACTTCATCCTCTTCCATCCTGATTTGTTTGACTAACTTATTCGTCAAACCATCACTAATTTAAAATACCAAGCTTGATTGACATTACTAATCATATATTCTGGATCTGACATGAAACACCTGGTTTCAGTGCGGTGAGAAACTAGAATGAGACTAGATGGTATAATTCTTGTTAGGGCAAATTCTATTTGTATTGCATCTAAGAGGCATGAAATTTGATAAAAGAGAACTGCCTCTGTTTTGCAACACTCCTGTTTTGGTTATGGAATGAAAAATAAGATTTAATATCTTTTGATAATATATTCTAGTGTAGCTTTCTTAGATCTTTCATTTAGTACATTTACCTTGTTTTTGCAGTTTACGCCTCATTCGATTAGCACAATTTTCTTGAAAATTGTTCGATAATTTACATGATCATTATCATCTTCATCAAGATTTACAAAGCCTTGTTTGCTGTTTATTTTATTTGGAGGTTTGGTTAGTTTGCTTAGTTCAGTCCTGTTGGACAGTTTCTTTGTGTTTTACTTTAGCCTAACCTTCTTTCTAACTTTTGCAAATTGATTCTATCCAATTTTCTTGTAAATATTTATAATACATTTTATGTATATTCTCGATACATTTTCCTCTTACACAGCTACACTTCGTTTAGCATGGACAAATTTTTTTTTCTAACTTTGCATAGTATCCATTTTAGGCCTCTTAGTGCTTGATTGGATGTGTTTAATGCGTATGTTCTGGCAAAATAAATTGTTACAAATCAGATTAGTCCTGTTTGAGTGGTAAAATATATGCTGCATTTCTCTAGGGATGCTTTGGATATCGGTTGTGAAGCATGACCTATTAAGGTTTAGGGTTCTTAGTGCAACTAAATAATACAATTGATAGGGTTTTCACATATCAGATTTAAATTTCATAATTTCAATGAACACCGGTAAACAAAAAAATACAAGTCTTATTTTAATGTAAACCAGAGAATATAAAAAATTTGTGCCAAAAAATAATCCGATAATTGTCTAAAATAAAGAAAATCAACGCTAAATTTAAAGCCTCCAAAAAACACTCAACTTGTACATTAATTACCAACCAAGTTGTGTCTTATCTGACTAAAATTAAATCACATTTGCAAAAATGAAAATAGAATTTTGAAGATGGTAGTGCCCAAGATAAGAGATCATTAAACTCAACAAATCAAGGTCTCATAGTAACATGGACATGACTTCGTTCTTAAAATAGAAGTCACGCTTGCAATTGTTGTGAAATGGAGCCTGAAGAAGCACCCATGAGCACACAACTGCAAGCAGCAGCACCAAGCAGCAATTATATGTGGCGTAACTACACCAATCCAGAAGTTATTAGGCCGGCGTAAACACATTGGAATTGACATAACTATGTTGGGCTGCCTCAGATCCTTCACTTCCTTCCCATGATTTTTTCCCGTTCTTTAGTTTATCCACGTAAATCCTGATTTTGTCTTAGATTATTTTGTTGTGCTTTTATTCGATTTATTTTATTTTGAATTTGTTGAATTTGTGTGATCATATTCTGAGTTGTGGTTTTGATATGAACTAATCAAAGCCCTACGTGCTCATAGTTTATCTCAATAAGTGATATCAGAGTTGGGTATTTGATTCGAGTTGGGGCAATGACTGACGAAGCTAGGAACAAAATGTAGAAGTTCAATGGATCAAATATCGAATTCTTGAGGATGCATGTGGAGAGTTTATTATATCAGAAAAAATTGTATCTATCTTTAGAAGAAATCACCAACAATCACCAAGAAACCTAAATCGAAGAGTATGAAGGAATGAAAAGCGTTGGTTCGAACGACTTTAGGTTTGATCAATTTTGTCACTTTTCTTGTTTGTTGTATTAAATATAGTGAATGAGAAAACCATGATGGATCTTAACAAAGATGTACGAAAAATCTACTACTTCTAAGAAGATTTTTTTGATGAAGAGGTTATTCAACATGACAAAACATCTGAACAATTTCAACACTGTAACGAGACAGTTGTGTTCTGTGGGGATTAAATTTGAGGATGAGGCGGCTAGAGCACTATTAATTTTATCTTAATTGCCAGAAAATTGGGATAGTTTAGTCACTGCGATGATTAACTCTTTTGGGAATATGAAGTTGAACTTCGATGACATCGTGGGATTGATGCTAAATGAAGAAGTTCACAGAAAGACAACGAATATTGAATCTTCAGGTTCTGCATTGAATGTTGAAAATAGGGGAAGGAATCTGAACAGAAATACAAACAGTGACAGATTCAAGTAGAGAGGAGGAAAGTTCATATCAAGTAGAGGAAATGACAAAGAAGAATGTTGAAACTGCAAAAATTAAAGACATTTTAAGGATTGTAAAGCTCCAAGGAAGACTAGTGGTGAAGGACAAAAAATAAATCTCTTTTCCTAGTCAGTAATGAATCTTGGATAGTAGATTCATGAGTCTCTTTTCATGTATGCCCCAACAAAGAGATATTCAAAAATTGCACTCATAATGATCTAGGGAAAGTTTATTTGGGAGATAACAAAGCCTGTAATATCGTATCTCTACATTTTTTGTTCTTGATAGTAATTTTTTTTGGTTGTGTGGCTCTGTGGTTTTCTTTTCTCGTTCTCAGGATTTTTCACGTAAATCTTGGTGTATTTTTTTTATATTACTTTGTTGTACATTTGTCTGATTTATTTTGTTCCGGATTTCTTGAAGTTGTGTGATCATATTCCGCGGTGTGGTTTTGATTGTAAATCAATCAAAACTCTTAGTGATCATGATCCATCCCTACAACAATGCATAAACCTAATACAAAAGATTGAAGGTTTATTTTTAATAGACGAAAAGTTTCATAATAGGGGCATTTACATGCATGCTATTCAATTCTTATGTTTTTACAAATCTAACTCGTTTGTTTTACTTTTTACATTTATACCATCCATATCTTTCATACACATAAAAAATACCACTATTTTAACATTTTAAAAGTGAAATAGACCTTTTCATACATTTGTAAGGCAGCAACGTGTAAAAATTGAAGTTTAGGTGTTAGATATGTAAATATATAAGAATTAAGTGGTATGTATGTAAATCTTCATAATGTATAACTATGTTATTTATCATCATTTAACTCTTCAACTTTGGCTTAAGTGTGTGTGTGTGTGTGTGTGTGTGTATAATGCACAAAATATAATCACAAGTTTTGTTCAACCCCAATAACATTTCTGATACACATCACATACTACATGAACAATAGAGAAGAGCATCCTCTGAAGTCTTATGACTATAAAAACCATTTCCAATTCATAATTGCAGGAGCAAAAAAAGGGAATTTACACATAATACATGAAAAATAAAGAAGACGCATCATTATAAACATGATTAAACATGTAAACTCAAATAAAAGTAAGGAATAACAAAATAACAAAACTAAACTAAAACCTTGGCATGATTCTACATATCCAGCATTTGGAAAGATTTAACAGGCCTGAGGTCAACTTTTTGAAAACATGAAAGCATTAAAATTAAGGGGCATTTAAATACATACCACCCAATTCCTATGTATTTAAACATCTAACTCCTAAATTTTGCTCTTTACATTACTCTATCCAAATCTTTCGTGTCACATAAAAAATACTTCCATTTTAACTTAAAAAAAATGAAATACACATTTTCATGCATATGTAATGTGGTATCATTCAAAAATTGAAGATAGCTGTTATATCTTGCATTTGCTTTGTTAATCTATTTTAGACACTTTGTACATAATTATCTATGATCAGATTTGGCAAAGCTTTTTCAGTTGAATCCTTTTATCAAAAAAATCATCCAGGAGAAGGTCCCAAAATCTACAGAGCTCTCACATCAGAGTTTCAATCTAACCCAAGAACTACTGAGCAGCACATCCTTTGGCAGGCAATTAGCTGATCAAATGACACTATCCAAAGCTTATGTTGTCATTGCAAAAGAGCATGGAAACCTCCAGCTCGCTTCGGAGCTCAGCTCACGAATCCGAGACTGTCAGCGATTGTTTTCTCGAGTTGCTGTTCAAGGAAATCCCATAAGCCTCGAAGAAGCTCATCCCATCATCACTCATCTCGCTCAGCTCATCTACAGAGCCCAGGATTTGCACTACGATATCAGCACCACTATCACCACCCTGAAGAACCACGCGCAAGCTCTCGAAGAGCGCGCAAATGCCGCCACAGTGCAGAGCGCACGGTTCGGTCAGTTGGCCGCAGAGGCTCTTCCTAAAAGCCTCCATTGCTTAAACATCGAGATGCTTGATGAGTGGTATAAAAACCAAGAGCTGAGAAAACTTGCACAAACTCATCGGAAGTCGCCTTCGCTGGTAGACACGAATTTGTACCATTTCTGTATATTTTCCGATAATGTTCTCGCCACTTCTGTCGTTGTGAACTCGACCATCTCCAACGCTGACCATCCTCGGCTGCTTGTGTTTCACATAGTCACCGACGGCATCAATTATCAATCCATGGCTGCTTTGTTTTTGAATAATGATTATAAAGGCTGTTCCTTTGAAATTCAGAGTGTTGAAGAGTTTGATTGGTTGAATGCCTCCTATTCTCCATTGTTGAAGCAGCTTTCAGTTCCAGAATCGCAGTCATATTACTTCGGCGGTCTTGCAGACTTTCCTGAGGAGGAGACCAAATTCAGGAACCCAAAGTTTGTTTTACTGCTTAATCACCTGCGCTTCTATATTCCAGAAATATACCCATCACTGGAAAGGATAGTTTTTCTTGATGATGATGTTGTGGTCCAGAAGGATTTAACACAGCTTTTTTCGCTCGATCTTCATGGAAATGTGAACGGAGCTGTCGAAACCTGCCTCGAATCGTATCATCGGTTCTACAAGTTTCTGAACTTTTCGAATCCGTTGATCAGCTCGAAATTCGACCCGCAGGCCTGCGCGTGGGCGTTTGGCGTCAATGTTTTCGATCTGATTGCGTGGAAGAAGGCGAATGTGACGGCGAGATATCACTACTGGCAGGAACAGAATGTGCGCAGAACACTCTGGAAGACAGGGACGCTACCTGCTGGACTGCTGACGTTCTACGGGCTGACGGAGCCGCTCGATCGAAGATGGCATGTTGTCGGGCTCGGCTATGATTTTGACATTGATGATAGAATGATACAGAGCGCCGCGGTTTTGCACTTCAGTGGCAACATGAAGCCATGGCTGAAGTTGGCTGTCAGTAAATATAAGCATTTTTGGACTCAATATGTCGACTTGGATCGACCTTATCTTAGAGATTGTATCATGCATTGAATTGATATTGTTTTGTTATTTGATTCTCTCTCTCTCCTCTATCTTTTGAATTTTGAAAGTAAATGTTTTAGCTTGGCTTGCAATTTTGCTTTCTTTTGCCAGGTACTTTGAGACCTAAGTTTTGTAACTAAGGGTCCGTTTGGGGGGGATTTTTTTTCGTGCGGCGCGGCGTTTCCCCGCAAATCTCGCCCGTTTGGGGCGACAATTTGATCATGGCTTCCCCAACGCGCAGCAGGATACCTCTCGTGGTCGAGCTTTCCCTTTTTTTACTTTTACGCGTATGCTCCTCCGCTCGTCGTCTGCCGCTTGGATCGGTCACCTATCATCACAGCGATAGGTAGCCATGTCAGAAACCACGAAGAGACGAGAGAAGAGTGGATCGAACCAGATCTTCTCCTCCCCCTCGGCGTAGTGTGGTTCGGTGTTCTTTTTATGAACTTTTTCTCCTTTTTTTTGTCTTCTTTTTTTTCCTTCTCTCTGCTGAAATTTCGGATCCGATGGTTGGAGGTAACGGGACAGATATAGCAGCTTGGATGCCCAGGCATTTGAGGATAACCTCTTCTATATATGCTGTTTGACGAAATTAAAGTCTACCTGTTAGATTTGATATTTTATTTGATTGTAATTTTCTTTGTGATTTTTAAGAAATGAATGGAATTAAGCTTTTACAAAAAAATATGCGGTTGAACATTTTTCACAAAAGCTCTCTGAATTCCATGAATTTCTCTCATGTTGATTATGCGATAAAGATTAAATTGAACTTTGGAGTTCTTGTCTCTTATCATGATGCTTCAGGGATCTCTGATTTTCCTAAGCAATGGTCATCGTGTAACTCAAATGACTGCTTCAGGGATCTCTTATCATGATGCTTCAGGGATCTCTGACTTTTTTTGTAGTCATTTCCTGTTATAGCATGGGGATCTCGCAGCGGAGTCATTCTGCATGTTGGTTGTGGAGTTGCAGGCTTTGGAGGATCTCTGTTTGATAAAGACGTGCTAACCATGTCTTTTGCTCCTAAAGATGAACATGAAGCACAAGTGCAATTTGCCCTCGAAAGAGGAATTCCAGCAATATTAGCAGTTATGGGCACCAAGAGGCTTCCATTCCCTGTCATGGTTTTTGATGTTATTCATTGTGCTCGTTGTAGGGTGCCATGGCATATTGAAGGTATTTTGGTTATTTGATTCATGGAATATTTGGAATTACCGAGTGTTCTGTAGTTGTCATGCTTAAGGAGGTATGTTGTAGGTGGCATGCTTTTGTTGGAGTTTGAATCGATTATTAAGATCAGGTGGTTTCTTTATATGGTCTGCTACTCCAGTTTACCGAAAAACGGTAGAAAACATTGGGATGTGGAAAGGTAAATTTTTATTATGTGTTAGCCACTTGATTCTATGCATGGGAAAAAAATATCTTTGCATTGATAAGTAATAATTTGGGGGCATATTTCTGAATTTTCCTTGTGCTTAGGTAATCATATAAACTTTTTAGTTAAAATTTATTAGCTCAGATATTATGAGCACCAAGAAACATTTTCTTGTATGATCTTTGTAATTGATCATCTCAGAATATGATCCTTTGAAATTGATTGAAATGATTGAAGAAAAGAATATTGATTTTTAATGTATAGAAGTTTTGAAGCTATATATGTAAATACTTCACAATTGAATGTTATATATGCAAATATTCCTTTTTTATGAGGGTGGGGGTGCATTGAGATACATACCTCTCAAGTCCTATTTATTTTTATATTTCACTAAACAGTAACATAATTGTCTTTTTTTCAGAAACAGCTGCCCCACAATTATTTTCACACAGCTGCAGCAAACAGTTAGTCAGCTTCCCTGCAGCAGCTTTCTGGGGCAGCGCAGCTGCAGCTATACACCAAACAGACCCTAAGAGTTTGTTTGGGGCAGCTGCATATTAATAATAAGTTGTCGCGTAATAGCTGCCACAGATGACAGCTACGCAGAAGCTATTTATTTTAGCATGACCATTCTGCTCCTGTATAGTAATGTTGTTTGTAGCAAGATTGTTCCGATAAGTACATTCTATACTTAAAGAACAAATAGTCATTACAGAACATTTTAAAACAAAAATAGACACCTCATTAAACAATGAATAACATGATTACCAAAATTAAGAAAGTGACTATTAAAATAACAATTAATAATATGATAACATTATTTTTAAACTGTAGACGGAGTATGTCACGAGATAAGACGTCCTTCAGGGATACTCTTTACGTCTGATCACTCTCAGCGGTGGAATCTTTCAGTCAATCTGCCAATCGAAAATAATCACAGTTTCCTATGATTCTTCATAGGCACCTATAAAATTGTCTTCCATAGCTATGTAGCTAACACAAAGTGAGCAAGAAACATTGAAGTATGCAGTAGTAGTGCAATCTTCTGGAGGTACTGAAAATCCTTGAGCTCATTCTTTCCGAAGGCTTAAAAACACAAACCTTAAACATAACACTAGTAGAAATTAATAACATAAGTAATTAGTTAAAAGTTTTATATAGTTGTGAAGTCTCAGAGAACTTGCTATGTAAAACAACGAATTTGCCACTACAAGAAAATAATATATCTTTTTGTTACCTTTAACACATAATACTGAACTTGTCTATGTCACATATGCATATCACCAAAAAAGGCAATATAGAAGAACCAAAAAAATCGTAGCACCGAAAAAAGAGAGGAACTTAGTTACCTTCATTAGAATTTCACATGTGACACCAACCAATAGAGATATACATGTCATCCAGAAGAACTCATTATATCAAATATCTCATCATAGACCTCCAAAACCCACAAAAAGAAAAAAAAAAAACATATACAACTTGTATAAAAAACAACTGCAGTAAATATCAAAGGCATAAGGAACAATATTATATATGAATTTTATAAAATACTTATACAATAAACAGCGAAGGTCTTCAACAATCATTATAATTAACGGAAATAAAAAGTAACATTCTTTCCAATAACCCTCAAACTATCGCTTTCATAATTCATTCCCTTAACTTTGTCATCTCGCTTGCACCTTCCACATATTAAGTGCAGGTCTCATGAACATCATTTCAACCAGTGACAAAGGTTGTCCAAGCTGATAATCATATGTCTCAACAGGGACATGTGCATGATCCCTGTCCAACATATAGAAGTCGATGTTGCGGGAAATATGTCGCCGAATATAATTATGGATTGTCATCATGACAATCACAATATGCACCTGTTTGGGAAATTGGTAAGTTGACATATCACAAAGTATAATATATTTCTTCTTCAAAACATCAAAAGTCCTTTCAATGCAATGCATAAAGATGAGTGCCTTTTGTTGAACATTTATTTCCTATCTCACGTGACGTTGCTAGCTCGCTCAAAATCAGGTACGTGGTTTCTCATATCAGGGTATAACTTCAAATACACTCGTTGCAATGAATACTCAACATCGATCAAATAATATTACCTTGTGTGAATAGAATGATTAGAGTTGAAGTAAAAAAAAAAGGGACCAGCTCAGTCTCAAGTGACCTATGGGTGGATGTGAGAAGTTATATTTTTAATTTCGTGTTGCAGATTTGAAAATTCAACTGTCATGTACACTGTCCTCCCAACTTGTCATGAAAAAAATAAAGCACGTGTTGAAATCGCATACGACCATGACATTTTGCGTCGGTGACCCACAACAACTAATGAATGTGATATTCTCATTGTTTGGGACACGTGCATCTATATGTGTTTCATCAATTGCTCCAATACAATTCTAGAAAGATAAAAAATGGTTCTTTAGTTACTATATTCATATAAAAATTGAATTTACTAAATAGGAGAAATTACATTAAACTATGGCATATACTACACATTGTGTGAAATCTCCGTGTGGGTCCGTTCAAATGTAGGATCTATTGGATTTATGTCTTGTGACAAAAACAGACAGATGCATTCAATCTTATTAAGAAGTATCTACAAATTATCTTGAATGAGTGGTGAAATCATTCTATAACTCCTTGTATAGATTCATTCTAGGAAAATATATAGAGGCTTATTCCTAACTCATCCTAGTAGAGTCATGAAGTCCAAGATTTCTACGAAGTTCTCTCAATATATCAACGAAGTGTTATGCAAAACATATTGTTAAACCTCATTGGGTGCCCCACAAGCAACTCCCCAACCCATTTGTCACCAACATAAAAGGATATCATGCAAGGGGAGTGTTCTATCTATGTACAAGTTATAATACTTGTACGTCAAACACATTGCAGTTGTACGTCAAACACGTTGCAGCTACAACTCTCCTTCTACACCTTTCTCTATTGGCATCTATGTATTTCAGTGTCAAAATAGTTAACACATAAGCATCAATGATTAAACTACAATCATGTAATGTGATGAACAAAGCTAACATCAAAATAATATTACTAAAGTAATAGAAAATATAACAAAGAATTAAAAACTCTTAGGTAAAGTGACATTTCCAAAGCTTTCCAAAGCAACATAAATGACCAAAGGAGCACAAAAAATCATAAAGATTTAGTGAAATATCCAAAGCAGCATGTCCAAAGTAAATAAACAAGTAACAAATATGAAATGTCCCACAAGAATCTAGTAAAAGAAAAGTGACCCTCAAATGTCGTTGTTCACATGAAAATAATATAGGTAATCCACCTTACGGTCAGCAGTTATCATCATGAAAAGCTCTCTACGAGTCGGATCTTTAAGCAACTTCATAGAGAACAAATATAGTGGTATGTTCTCATATTTTTTTGGAGTTTCCTCTATAATTTGCATAACCTGCTGGACAGATGTTGTTTGTGGTGTGTCAGGGTCATTGATGCATGAAGCCTCCAACTGTGATATATAACTTCTAATGAAAGCAACTCCATCTTTTTTCTTCTTCTCAACCCTAGATCACTTTAATCAACTGGTGGATTCGATCTCATTGTGGTTCGGGATGAGGCCTTCATTAGAATCATCTGTTTGGCCAGCTACCAAATTAGCATGGGTGCCACCAAACCTCGCCTCACTGGCGGCACATACATTGTTGTCCATGGCCACGACACCTCCAAAAATACGACCTAACTTTTCTTCCAACTTACAATTGATGTCACTATATTTAAATTGTTTAGTAGTTGGCACGACGTACAAATTCAATTGACATGTTCATGGACTTGAAAATAATTTAAAAAATCAACAAAAGGAGTGGACATTTCAAAAAATGCTCACTGTTAGTCTCTCAACTCACCACTCCTTGGAAGCATCAACTGTTTGCTTTATCGGATCCCAACCCAAGCTCGTGGTTCCTCATTTCAATTCCTTTCAAAATTTTTAATCCTTTTTCAAATGATCTCACTTGTTTTTCGATAGCATCATATCATACTCTCTATCTGTACTTTTCTTAATTTTTTGATGATATTTTTTCATCCCTCCCTGTTGAAATAGGTTGTCGACCTAATTCCCTTCTTGACCTCTTTGAGGCATAGGTCGCAAAATATCATTTTGGTATCCTTATCTCACATTGCAAATTAACCACC